TCATCGGAGACATATTCTAGCAGATAATAATCCAAATTTCTTCCGAAACATGCCAAACTTTAATAATAATAATAATAATAATAAAAAGAACATTTAGGGGATGCTTGTTACGTTACTGATTCATTCAAGAGTCCCCAGCTAACAATGATAAAAACGTTAGAACTTTACAGTTTGGTATACAATTCACTTTTGTAGAACCACAAATGCGTATAAACTAAAAGCCATTCATTCCCATACCAAACTCCTGTCAGGAAGACCAGGTTTTCCCGCGTCAATTACATTCACATTTGTTCAATTTAAATTTACAACTCTCGTACTGTTTACCCTTCATCCCCATTCATACCTCGCATCACTTCTTTATAAAATAGACTACCAAGTTCTTGTCTCTCTTCCCCCCCCCCCCCATCCTAATTCTTTCAAGCCTAAGTGCCATTAAAAAAACTTAACTTCTCTGTTTCTTTTCTTTTCTTTTTTCTCCTTTGCTTTGAACTGGGATGGTGCCAGGATTTGCCCGACCGGAGGAGGGCGGGGTCCCCGACAAGAGGTCGATGTCCCCTACGGGAGCAAAGTGGGTGTAGTCGGACGTCGCTCAAAATGTCCGAAAAATATGACAATTTAGGGGTTTTGAAAGCTTATTTAATCGATTTGTTTTCCCATTCCCGACGAATTTTGGTTTTTATTCACGGCGGAGGCACTGGCCCTCGTTATTTTGACAGTATTTTCTGACATAGCAATAACTTCACAAGTTTGCAATGATATAATAACGTATTGTGTTTGCTGGGCTGGCCTTCCACTCCCGTTTTCTATAATTGCCCTTCAAAATAGGCTTAACAAACATTTCCACCATCATTCTTACTATTATTTATATATTTTCTCTGTATAAATAAACCATGACATACTAACATGAAATTGCTTGTTGACAATAACCAATATGTAGACTTATTGTTGTCACTCTTAGAATATGAATACCGTATGAATATGAATCAATATTCTTCTTCGCTGATTCATTACTGTAAACATGGAGGTACATTTAAATACAGTACTGTAAACAACGAGCTCTCGCTAAAAATAATAGTATAGGTGACGCTTGGTGTTTCAGCACCTTACACGTCTATCATAATTTTAAACTACATTTCTACAGCCCACATAATCAAATAAAAAAATATATTGACAGGTTGTAGTTTGATATTGAGTTTATTTTCCGCAAAACACACAACAAAGCTACTATATTACAATACTGTATTTAAAATTTCTCTATCAATAACCTTGGTGGGGGGAGGGGGTTAAGATTAGATTGTAATACAATACCGGTAGACCGCATACAGCTCAGATGTTGCTACTTTAATTGTCTGTTTGTACAACCGTGATGGTCGCTAACCAGAGGTAAACTAGCACTGAAAAATCATTTTTTTAAAACGCAAAAAGTGGTCACGGTCGTGGTCGCTTACGAGAGCGCTTACTTGGGGTATCAAGTGCATTGATCTAATAATAAAACGGGCTTTGACATGTGGTCGCTTAAGATAGTAATCGACGAGAGGTGGTCACACACAGAGTTTTATCTGTTATTAAATTGAAGTGACACTACCTCAAATAGACCTTTCCGGAGTGTCAATCAAACTTATCAACTGACTAATCAGAACAGCGCTAGGGATACGCGCGCGTCTCACAAACACGTGTTGTCCCACAAACGCACGTGTTCGCGTATGTTTTAACTCTGTCGTCTTGTGGGACCTTAGCAACAATATCCGAGGGGCGGGGATTAGCGGAAAGGTCCATTTGCGTTTATATCCTGTGTTTAAATTGCTCGTGTTTAAACTCGCCAATTATCCCAAAGTGTGTATGCATCCTGTACATTAACATAAATGAATATATGGATGAATGAATAACTTAAAGAATGAATGAATACGTAAATTAATTAATGAAAGAATAAATAAATGAAAGAACGAAAAAACGAATGAATGATTTGAGTGAATGACTAAAACCATATTTGAAATACATTTCTTATTGTTTGATGCAATTTAATACGACAATCCAACTCTTAAGTTGGCACACGATATCCATCCTTTTATAAGCGATGGAAATCCTATATTGGCTGTACTGCACCGCATTTCGCGCCCGTTGACCTTTATTATTTTACACCTCATGTTTCTACTTAATATACGACCATATGACAATAATCATCACATTTTTGCAAAATTCAATAACATACATTTTCACACGTCTCTTCTAGCAGACTGTTTCTAGCTAGGCCAATAAGGCCAAGTACAAAAAATACATGTTTCTCGTCCCCGCCCGCTTCCGTTTTTGGGGCCGCCTCCTATTTTTTATTATTTATTTAATTTCAGAAAAAGAGATAAAAGATTACCCCAAAAAATCCCGTAAATACCGTATTTTCGTTAAATACACATCGTGCACCAAAGTCTTACTGGCCTATGCATATTGTTCTCCAACATTCACATTGTGAGCGAGGTTGTATACAGGCATAGCTATAGGCTTAGTCCTCGATTATTATTATTGGGTTGCAAGTTTGTCGATGCACTAGCAAATGTTTTATGGTCCATATCCGGGGTCCATATATATACATTACACCTAAATAGGTCATCCAAGCGTATGTATATTGTTGGTGGAACATGGCAATCTGATTTTGGGGGAAAAATAACAAAAAACCATAATAACAAAATAAAAGAAAATACTAAATATCAAGTGCCTCCTCCTTCCCTTTTTTCAGAAACCGACGAAAAACATGTATTTTTTATTATCTGGCTTAATGAATAAAAGCTAATTAATATGATCGATGATAACGAATCTCTCATCTTTAGACCTGTACTCAGCATACGTTTTTGTTTGTTTGATATGGATTTCACCCTGGTGAATGTTGGAAATCGAAGCGTGCTTATCATCGTCTGTACGTGCGGTGAACAGCCGACCACAGACGTGTAGCTTACATTTGATGGGCCTGTAGCTTACATTTGATGGGCCTGTAGCATACATTTGATGGGCCTACGTAAGATGGTCCTTTTCGCTAAGCCCCACCCCTTAGATATTGTTGCAAAGGTCCCATAAAACAAAAGCGTAAAAACCTGTTTACACACAATGATAACGATAAAAAAGCTAAAAAGCGATTGTTCATATAGAAAACAAAAGAAATAAGAGAAGTTTTTACACTAGGACGATTCGATAACGATTTATCGTGTATGCAATAACAAAATATTTTAACAAATCAAATCAGATGACGTCTAAATATCGAATCGTTCTAGTGTAAAAACTTCTCTTATTTCTTTCATTTTTTATATGAACAATTACTTTTTAGCTTTGTTATCGTTATCGTTGAAGTACAGGCCTGAAACGTACGTAATTAATACCTGCGTTTGTTGTGGAACACACGTGTGTTCAATTGGAGAGGTGCGTATTATTAGCGATTTTGTGATTAGCGCAAGTTAAGTTTGATAAGTACTCCAGAAAGAACTTTTTTTAAAATTACCAATTAGCCTACTAAAAATTGGTTTTTACAACTATTGACATTTGTTCTCGTTTGTTTTGGTATACAAGTGGAATAATATCGCGTTCTGTACAAACATAAAG